GGTTCTGGCTATTACAAATAAAGCTTGCTACAAACATGGTTAACAAATGTCCTTGTTGTATACTTGAGGGTCTTTTGGATATATGCCTAGGAGTGGTATAGCTGGATCTTGAGGAAGTACTATTCCTAGTTGTCTGAAAAAGCGCCAGATTGATTTCCAAAATGGTTGTACAAGTTCACATACCCACCAGCAATGGAGGAGGGTTCCCCTTTCTCCACATCCTCTCCAGCATGTGTTGTCACTTGAGTTCTTGATTTTAGCCATTCTGATGGGTGTAAGGTGAAATCTCAGGAAAAACTAGTTATCAACGTGTAAAAGAATAAAGCTAGATCTATGTCTCAGCCTACACACACACACACACAGACACACACACACACACACACACACACACTCAATTCAAAATCAGTCAAAGACCTTAATAGCAGACTTGAAGCTTTGAAATTGTTGAAGGAAAATAATTGACAACACTTCAAAATGTAGGCATAGACAAAGATGTTCTGAAAACGGCTCCAACAAGCCACAAAATAATCCCAAGACTTGGTAAATGGAATTGCATGAAATTAAAAAGCTTCTTCATAGCAAAATAAACAATAGCCAGAGTAGAGAAACAGCCTCCAGGAAAGTATGCTAATTAGGCACTGGGCACTAGGTAAATATCTAGAATCTATAAAGAACTACAAAAACTAAATACTAGAAAATGAAATTTTAATTTTGTATTTTAATATACTCTAATCAATAAGTTCTCAAAGAAGAAATATGAACAGCTAACCAATATTTGAGATAGTATCTCACATACTCAGCCATCAGGAAAATTTAAATTAAAACTTAATTTTGATGCTTTTGCACCCCAGTCAGATGGTTGTCATCAAGAAAATAAACGATGAGGGCTAAAGAGAGTTCCTGCTCTTGTTCTTTCAGGAGACACAAGTTCAGTTCCCAGCATTCACATCAGACCACTCACAGGCATCTTAAGTCTGGCTCCAGGGTATCTGATGCCCGCTCCTGGCTTCCATAGGCACCCGTGTGCACACACACATACACACACACACACACACAAAATAAGAAATGCACATTCTAAAAATTAAATAAGCAGCAAATTGCTGACAAGGATGTGGATACAGAGGAACCTTAAACGCTGCTGATGGGATGTAAATCGGGCAGCCTCTTTGGAATTCAGTGTAGCGGTTCCTTAAAATGCTAAAGCAGAATTACTCTAAGACCTAAATAGACCGTTCTTGGTATTCAGCCAAAGGACTCTAAGTCCTGACATAGAGATATTTGCACGTCTGTGCTTATTGCTGCTCTGGTCACAAGAACTAAGAAAAAGAGCCAGCCTAGGTATCCATCAACAGGTGCATGGACAGAGAAGGAGTGGTCCATGGGCACAATGAAAGTTTGTGCATCTATAAAGAAATGAAATTATTGCATCTGCAGGAAGACGGATGGAACTGGAATGTTACGGTGAGTGAGAATAACCAGGCTCATGTTTGAATTATTTCATTAAAAAAAGACCTCTTAGCTATGATAAACATTTTTAGTAAAGTAGCAGGACATAAAATCACCACCCAAAAATCAGTAGCCTTTCTGTACACCAGCAACTAACTCACCAAGAAACTGGTGTGTTCTCACATACACAGAACCTGAATTTAAGTGTGTGGATGGTTGTTTGGTGGGTGCGGTTGTTAGGACAAAAAAGAAACTAGAAACCAGGTCATGAAAACAGAAGAAGAGATCTTAAAAGGGAAGGCAATAGAATTCAGGGGACTCAGGGAATCATGAAGTTGCCTTGGCCTTGCTGCCCTGAGAGGCATTCTTCCTAGGTGTTTAGAGGCCATGGCTCCAGAGGCACAGTGTGCTGTGCCTCCCAGGTCCCGAGAGGGCCTCAGGCAGTGAAGTAGTCAGACCTCACTCCCTTCTCTCCCTCCCTCCCTCTTTCTCTTCCTAACTTTCTCTTCAAGACAGGGTCTTGCCATGTATTCCATGCTGACCTAGACCTTGTGATCCCCCTGCCTCAGCCTCCCAAGAGTTGGAATTACAGGCATGTACCACGTTGTCCAGCTCTATATGTGTTTGGAGCATTTTTGTCATTGTGGTAAAATACCTGATTTTAAAATGTACTAATTGTGATATTTACTCAAGGAAGCATGAAGGCCTGGCAGGACAATTGGTCTGGGAGATTAAACCTGTGTACCCTGCGTAGCCTGCAAACATCATTGAGTCCTGGCAACTACAACTGTATTGAGCCTGGCAGTTGCTTTTATATTCTGTTTCTGATTAGGTAGAAAAAGAAATCTAATTGCTCTCAATAAAATTGCCCAGCCTCAGTCTTGCTGTGGGCCCTCCAACTGGCCACATCAGGTGACCTTGGCGGAATAAGGAAGCACAGGTGCTCAAGTAGATGTGAAGGCACAGGGAGGGGCTGACCGCACCAGCTCGGCCAGTGTTGGCGCTTGCTGGCAAGCCGGACAGCTTGAGTTTGGTCCCAGGAAACCCACAGGGCAGAAGAAGAGAGCCACTCTCACAGGTGGTCCTCTGCACATGCACACGCAGATTAAATTAATAAACACATGTAAGGATTTCTTTCTAAAGAGAGAGAGCAGAAGGGAAACTATTGGAGGTGAGAGCAGGATCATGGAAGCAAGGGGTGGGGAAGAGCAGGGGGTGGGGAAGAGCAGGGGGTGGGGAAGA